CAGGGTCTGATAATCGATTACCACTTATGTGATAATCGATTGTCACACTATGCTGGATCAACTGAGGAGTTCAGCGTGACCTGATAGTCGATTATTCCGTTCTGTAAATCGATTACCAAGGCACGCTGATTCCCATTTTGACTGTTTGGTTATCATCAATACGTTGGGAGTTTTCTTTGAACGAACGTTTATGATTACATGTTAAGTATTCCATGAATATACGGAGTTTCAAAATGCTTGTATTAACGAGTTCGTAACTTGATAACACGGACTCTCGTATGTTTGATGACTATCCTGCGAACATGCATAGATTCTACGTAGGTTGCGTACGATATTCCTATGAATATAGCGACATAGATTATAACTAAATGTTCTAGAATTAGAGGGACAACTACTCACCTCTAAATGAAGGGATTGATGGAACGAGATGAACGAATGGTGCTAACGAACGGGCAAACGACGACCACGCCTCGCACGACGGCCTAGCTCTTCTTCTCCTTCAACCTTGCACCCACCGGAGCTTCACCGGAGATTCCTGAGCTGCTGTTTGCCTTGGCCGAAAATGAGAGAGTGAGAGAGAGTGGAGATTGTGAATACTTGGGGGTTACAAAATGGGGTGTGAAGGGAGAGGAAAATGATGGGGTTTTAATGGTGGATTAAGGAGACTATTAATTGGAAATGATGGGGGTGTTGAAGGAGCCGAACCAAGGGTCTAGGGAGGTTACAAAACGTATTTACTCCGTATTGTAAAAATCTGACCTGAATGGCACGCGCTTTCCCCCCCAAACGGGTCCGAATTGAAATCCGTTTGCGTTTCTGGAATCAGACAGTCAAGACGAATTTAATGATATGATCAAATAATTTTTCTAAGAACTTTTCATTTTCCCAACCCCGGTCCGGAACAGTAATTAATTAATTAAATTAATCAATTCTAATAGACCGGGTTGCATGGCGTTACAATTATCCACCCCTTAAGAGAATTTCGTCCTCGAAATTACCTGATCACTGATCACTGAAAAGATGTGGATAACGAGTGCGCATGGATTCCTCGGTTTCCCATGTCGCCTCCTCGACGGTATGACTTCTCCACAGAACCTTGACCAGCGGAATGGTTTTGTTCCTCAACTGACGGACCTCACGAGCCAGAATCTCAACCGGCTCCTCCTCATACGTAAGATTCTCATCAAGTGTGACCGTATCAGCTGGAATCACATGAGAAGGGTCCGACCGGTACCTCCGGAGCATGGACACGTGGAACACATCGTGGATCTTGCTCAACTCTGATGGTAACTCGAGCCTGTAAGCTACAGGTCCTACCCGCTCAATAACTGGGTACGGCCCTATAAACCTTGGACTCAATTTCCCCTTCTTGCCAAAACGTAGGACGCTCTTCCAAGGCGACACCTTCAGGAAAACCTTATCCCCGACTGCATACTCGATGTCACGCCTCTTAAGGTCGGCGTAGGACTTCTGTTGGTCCGAAGCCACCTTAAGTCGGTCTTTAATCACCTGGACCTTCTCCTCGGTCTCACGAACCAAATCTGGACCTTCCAACCTCCTCTCGCTGAGCTCTGTCCAGCAGGTAGGAGTACGACAGGGTCTACCGTACAGAGCCTCGTACGGTGCCATACCAATGCTAGCCTGTTACTGTTGTTGTATGCAAACTCCATGAGTGGCAGGTACCGCTCCCAACCATCCCCGAAGTCGATTGCACACGCACGCATCATATCCTCGAGAATCTGAATCACCCTCTCCGACTGACCGTCTGTCTGAGGGTGGAACGCCGTACTAAAGTGGAGATCGGAGCCCAATGCCCTTTGTAGACTCTTCCAAAACTGTGATGTGAATCGAGGGTCACGATTCGAAATGATAGATGACGGTACTCCATGTAGCCTGATGATCTCGTGGATGTATAACTCCGCTAATCGCTGGAGTGAGAAGTCACGACGAATGGGGAGGAAATGTGCTGACTTGTTCAACCGATCAACGATGACCCAAACTGTGTTGTGCTTACGTGGTGACAATGGCCGTCCCACGATGAATCCCATCGTAATGCGATCCCACTTCCACTCGGGAATGGTGATCTGCTGAAGCAATCCCGAAGGAACCTGGTGCTCGGCCTTGAACTGCTGACAAGTCAAACACCGCGAAGTGAATTAAGTGATCTCCCGCTTCATCGCGAGCCACCAGTAATGTCTCCTAAGGTCCTGGAACATCTTGTTACTGCCCGGGTGCATGGTATACACAGTGCTGTGTGCTTCACGAAGCAGGCGTTCTCTCACCTCCCCCGCTGGCACAACCATACGCTCCCGATAGTACAAGATACCATCTCGAACTGCAAAATCCGGCTTCTCTCCTCGGGAGACGAGCCCAACGGTCTCGATACAGAAATCATCACTGCTCTGGGCTGAAGCTATCTGCTGCTGTAATGTAGGCTGGACGTGTAGCACAGCTAGAGTCTTACGACTAAGGGCATCGGCTACCACATTCGCCTTACCTGGGTGGTAAGCGATGTGACAGTCATAGTCCTTAATCAACTCTAACCACCTCCTCTGTCGGAGATTCAGATCCTTCTGCGTCAACAGGTACTGAAGACTCTTATGGTCGGTGAAGATACGCGTCGTCTCACCGTAGAGATAATGCCTCCAGACCTTCAAAGCAAGTACAATAGCTACTAACTCAAGGTCGTGCGTCGGGTAATTACACTCATGTGGCTTCATTTGCCGGGACGCATAAGCAACGACCTTGCCCTCTTTGCATGAGAACACACCCCAAGCTGTTATGGGACGCGTCGCTGAAAACCGTATACTCCACTCCTGGAGTGGGCTGGACTAGAACTGGTGCCTGGGTCAGACATTTCTTTAGTCGCTCGAAACTCTGTTGACAAGCGTCAGTCCAAATGAACTTGACGTCCTTCCTCATCAGCTTGTGTAATGGTGATGCTATATTGGAGAAGTCCTTCACGAACCGTCGATAGTAACCCGCCAGTCCGAGAAAACTCCTCACCTCACGTGCATTCCGCGGAGTCTTCCACTCCGTGATCGCTGCTATCTTACACGGGTCTACCTTCACACCTTCGGCCGAGATGACATGGCCGAGGAAGGTAACCTCGTGCAACCAGAACTCACACTTGGACAGCTTGGCATCAAGCTGCTGTTCCCGAAGAATACTCAGAACGACACGCAGATGCTCGGCATGCTCCTCCTATGTCTTGGAGTACACCAAGATGTCATCAATGAAGACCACAACAAACTGATCAAGATGCTTCCGGAACACACTGTTCATCAGATCCATGAACACTGCTGGTGCGTTAGTCAAACCAAAGGGCATGACTGTGAACTCGTAATGACCGTATCTCGTGCGGAAAGCCGTCTTAGGAATGTCCTCCTTCTTGACGGGAATCTGATGGTACCCTGATCGGAGATCGATCCTAGAGAAGACTGTGGCTCCTCTCAACTGGTCAAACAAATCGTCGATGCGGGGTAACGGATAGCGATTCTTGATGGTAACTTTGTTTAACTGACGGTAATCAATGCACAACCGCATTGATCCGTCCTTCTTGCGGACGAACAGAACCGGTGCTCCCCAAGGAGACACACTAGGTCGGATGAAGCCCTTATCCAGCAACTCTTGCAGTTGAGCCTTCAACTCCTTCATCTCTGCAGGCGCCATGCGATAAGGTGTGGTAGACCAGGTAAGTCATCTGGAAACACATCAGGAAAGTCACATACCGTAGGGATGTCCCCCCTACCAGGCGCCTCCTGACAGGTGTCACGCACTGTACACAAGAATGCTTCACACTTCTTGCGAATGAGCCGACGAGCATGTATGTAGGAAATGAATTCTGGAGCTTTCGGAAGAAGTTCACCATGGATCAGTACGTCACTACCGTCTTCGGCTCTCAGTCGAACAGTATGAACTCCACAATCAACAACGGCTTGGTTGGCGGTGAGCCAATCCATGCCCAGAATAACGTCAAACTCACCATGTGGAAGCTCAATGAGACTCGCAGGGAAAATCTTTCCCTGGACCACTAATGGGCAATCATGATACACATGGGTGAGTCGTAGACTGTGTCCCAATGGGTTGGGCACTAATACCGGATTGTCTAAATTTTCCCTCGGAATGTTAGGCATAACAGGCATAGGCATACAAACATATGATAAAGTGGAACCCGGATCAATCAAAGCTGTAATAGATGTATCGAATAAGGTAAACATACCCATGATGACATCATGGGCGGGCTGCTCGGTACGCCCTCGCATTGCGTAAGTACGGGTCTTCCCCGCCTGAGCGCCAGATGCCTGCCGTTTGGGCTGGCTAGATCCTGCCGCCGACTTCGAAGGATTACCCCACCTTCGAACCTCGTTAAAGTTTGCGTGTCTCTCTCTCTTATCTTTATTCTTACTTGCAATTATATTAACTGTGAAAACTAACCTATCCATATTCATTACTGCTCACTCTACCCACCAAAATTCCGCACACAATCTAAAGTTCACAAGGACTCTAGATTAACACTCATTTTCACGTTTTCAAAAGAAACGAAAAAGATTTTAAATCTGTAACAAACTCTATTCACCCCCCCCCCTCTAGACTTTGTATTTCACCACTTTGGGACCACCAATTGGTATCGGAGCTAACTTCTCACTATCTACGTTTAGATTAACGAGAAGCGATCAAAATGGTGAACAATATGGATCACGGTTTGCCCAAGTTTTCTCTTCTAGGTTATGATGATTGGAA